GCCCCCGCGGGGGGGTTCAGAGCGGCGGCGTCCCTGGTTAGCCCTTCGCCGAACCAGCCCAAACGCGTAATACTGTACTCCCACGGCATCCTGAATCGCGAACGAATGAACCACCTTTTAGCCTAGCGTGTAGCGCCAACCCTGCCTGTGTGGCCGGTTTGTATTAGATGCGTTGTGTGAAACGACTGCGTTAAGCTTATTTACTTAGGCAGTTACACAACGTGGGAAGGATTACTACTGTGCAGACGGCGCGTGCTTCCAAGGGTCCGATGTATAGGATTATAGACACAACCCAAGTACTAGGAGTTGGAACAGGCGACACCAAAGCACATTTTCAGAGGGGGGAAAAAAGCCGTCGCGTTTAATCGACTGAGCCTTAGATACGTGGGAAGGAGATTGCAACGACCGGTACGTACATCTGTATGGTTTCCAAGCGGAAGAATAATAAAATGGCACAAAATACTTAATTGTACAGCAGGAAACTAGCCTCCGAAATATTGCAAGCCTTTTTGTTTCACCATATATATTTAATAACATTACAAGTGGCCATCCCAATGGGTAGGGGCACTTCGGAAAGGAAAAGTTCCATTGTACAAGACATCCTCTACTTTTCTGAGTTTCTGATGGGCCGTTCCCACAGTGAGGTTTTCATATAAGGCTGAGAATGCCTTCTTTTTGGCTGTTTTTGTTTTAACTAGACCAAGAAGGCTTCCAGTTTTGCTGGGTGTTTTTTATGGATACCGGGAAAAGTGGTATAAATGTTTTATTAGCCCCCCCCCCCCCCGGAACGATGCAGCGGTGCATGTATAAACTCTGAAGTATAAACACTGAATTTATATTTCACTGAATTTATACTTCACCGAAACAGTGAAGTATAAACACTGAAGTATAAACTTCAGTGCAACTGGTGAACAGCCAAAATCAGGAAAATCATCAGTTTCACGACATGAAGTCAACTAAAGTACTAACAATGATTTGTCATTAACCCAGAAAGGCTGATTGTGTTAACCTTACATTAGTTCTCTGTGTATGTTTGTGTGTGTTTTGACATTTTGTGTAAACTTGGTTTCATTCATTGGTTCATGGTCCAAGGTATTGTGCAAATTCAGAAAAATCGGTTAATTTTATAACTAAGTCAGGTGCACTGAGTTAACCCCGCTCATAAAAATGGTTAGGAACGGTGGAGCTAAGTAGGATGATGAAAAAACGATTCTCCGCAACCTGATGTCACAATGGAAAGTTCCCACTTGTTTTCTGACATTGGACGTGCAAATGCAAGTCACGGGGCTTTACCTTGTGATGCAGTCATGCCCGTGATGTCACCAGGCTCTGCTTGGGTCCCCCGACCCCGTGGATGCACTTCTTCAGGTCCGATGGCAACAAGATGCGGTGTCTTATTTAATTATTTAGTCCATTTCTACGGCTGTGAACCACTCCGAGAGGCTTACGGAGGGTCAGAACAAATAATGCGGTCAGTTAAGAACAATAATGAAAACAGCCAGGCCTGGAGGAGGGAGAGGGTGCAACGATTACACAATACTGTACAATTTCCCATAGCAGGTGCGGACAAGTTCCAGTGTTTGCAAGAGAGCCAGGTCTTTAAGATTTTCTTAAAGGATAACAGGGTTTGGGCCATATGGATCTAAAGTGGAAGATGGTTCCGAAGACAACAGATTGGCCACTTTAAAAAAGATTGGGGCTTAACCACCCACAAACCC